ACCTCCTCCAATTATAACTAGCTTCATCATGCCTCCATGATAGTTAGTCTTGTACATCTGTAAAATCTCTTCCCTTAGATTAATTCCACTGCCCATGGCATCAACCAAGCTTTTCTTGTTTCCTAAAAACAATCTCAAAAGTTTAGACCCAATACAATTCAGCTGATTGCACTACATCAAAATGAACTTTGCCAAATGACAAACATACCCCAGGTAAATCTGTTCAAAGGGTGCCCTTGTGAACAAGTATGAGACTGAAGTTGGTAAAGACGGCAGCTATCACTTTGCAGAACTTGGTTGAACTCTGAAGCAACATAATTGTTCAAGTGACAGCAGTTCTAATGTGCATAATCGAGAGAGAGAGAGAGAGAGAGAGAGAGAGAGAGAGAGAGATGATCTAGCAGTGGTTAGTCGGGACAAGGTTGAACATACCAGAGTCTACTGCCAATATCTCACGGTCCATAGCTTCCGCCTTAACAAGAGGTGATACAAAGAACTGAGAAAATCTAAGAACAAAATCAAACCACAAAAAAATGAATTTTGATTCAGATTCATCGTATAAAGGAAAACATTAGAATGAAAAGTAGCAGGATTGCTACCTGTCCAATGCTCCCTTAAGATACTCCCGCTTGACCTCAAAATGGTAGCATGTGTATTCAGTTTCAGTAAAAGCATTGGACGAACCACCATGTTTGGACAAGTAACTGTCATACTGCACATGAAAGTTCATATTATAGATATGTTTGAAATTCCAGGGCCATCCAATCATAAAAAGACTACTCATTGACCATGTAACAGAAAAAATGTTCAAAATGTTGCATCTGACCCCCCCCCCCCCAAAAAAAAAAAAAGAAAGAAAGAAAAGCAAAAGCTCAATAACTACCCAAAGATCTATCTGCTTTTTCTGCAACTAGTCCCAATTCACTAGAAGCTCAAAGAGTTGCATATGGTACCCAGATATGGGTAGGATAACTAATCTCAAAAGCAGGTCTGATTACAATTATTCGTAATTATAATACAATGCAAGGATGTGGAGATTTCATTGAAATCAAATAAGCACTAAAATAAGTGTATGAAAAATGAGGAAAGAAAGCAACTTGCAGGCCCAGATTCTCTGCATGAACTAGAAAGGGAATAAAGTGGCACATCTTCATCACAGAACGAAAATCCATCAGAAGAAACATCCTACTTTCTATTGTTTTCACTTTTCAGTGATGTGTTAGCATTCAGTGCAGTCATATTGGCTTAACTTTAGATGATTCCATGCAAGATTCACCAGTTTCAGTTATCAGAGTTTTACTAATAAAAATGTGTTGTCCCTACTATACACAATCCACAATAATAATTAAAAAAAACATCTCCATGTCTCCAATGCACCCACCTTAAAACATAGATCCAAACAGAATAGTTGATGCTATTAGGTACTCCCTCCAGTCACAAAAACATGCCGTTGTGGGCATTGACACGGTTTCGACTCACATAAATCTACACACATGATTTTCATACATCTAATATAAGAATTTTAAGAGATGTTCATGTTTTTAAGTTTTGAATTTTTAACTTAAAGACGCACCCAAAACGACATGTTTTCTGTAACTGAAGGGAGTATAATGGAACTAAGCAGTCTCAATACAGAGAACCTTATCAGTTACAGCCATTCTCACAGCTTGACGAGAAAAGAAAAAAAGGGTTTATATGCACATTGTACAAACCTCATTTTCATCTGGAAACTCAGAGCTCCCCATAAAAAGCATATGCTCTGCAAAAGTGTAGTATTCGTTCAGGTTCATAAGCATGGAAACTAGCCGAGCTTCAACCCATTACAGGAGAGCATGGACTAGAAGGTATTGTAGTTTTCAGCTTTTAACAGGTGCATACAAGCAGTTTTGGTGAGACAAAGGATACGATTACAAGGATTACAGACCTAGAAAATGAGCTAATCCCTGGGCCTTTGGAGGGTCAGCAAAACTTCCCATTCCAACACACATTGCAGCAGCAGCCTGAAACACAATTCATCACTTTGTATGGATTGAAACAAACATCAAACTTCAAACACGCATCAAAATCCACATTATCTAATATGTCGATTAAATGATAAAAAAAACATCACACCACAAGCCCACACCAAATTCTTCAAGCTATAACTTGGTACTCTTAATAGTCCAACAATAACTACCTCCTGAGATTCGAACCACAGACTTCTAAAAGGTTAACAGAAATCCAATTTCCATTACATTGGTTATGAATCACCTAGCTTAGCTGAATAAATGACCGTTTCCAACACTACTAAATGTCTAAATCACGCCAGATCCAGGGGGGTGTTAACACAGTGTATCAGAGTCACCACACCACACAGAGGAGATTGAACTAATGTACTCGCACAATTCAATCTACAGATTAGGCAATGGTAATGTAGGACTAAAAGTTAAACAGGCCATTACCTTCTTAACGAGCGGCTCGGAGCTGCCCTTCTCCTTCCTCCTCTTCGGCTCGCTCCCATCCTCCTCGTCCTCCTCCCCTTCGTCGTCCTCGTCGTCCTCCCCTTCCTCGTCGCTGTACTCCTCATCATCGTCATCCTCATCGCCGTCCTCTTCCTCATCGTCCTCCTCACCCATGTCCTCGTCCTCGTGGGGCTTGGAGGCGTGGGGGTCGGGGTAGCCGTCCGGGTAGATCTCGGGGTCGTGGACGAGGAGGGCGCAGAGGCCGTTGGGGAGGCGCAGGAGGCGGTAGGAGCGGTGGTCGCTGGGCGACTTGATCACCAGCTCGTCGTCCCGCCACGCCGCCGCCGCCGCCGCCATCTCGGCCTCGCCGCCGCCCCGGGAATACTACGGGAGAGGTGAAGACGAGGGTTATGCGGCGACAGTAGCAGCGCCGCTTCCTTGTTTGCTTCTCTAATGAGGTTTTTTTTTTTAAAAGTCTTTTAAATAAATTCCTTAAAAAAATTAGGGCTACATAAGCAGATACGGATTCTGTGGGGACTGGATGCGGCTCAAATCAACTTTTTTTTACGCTTTGCATCGGGTGCCAACTGTCAACTGGACTACCGGTTGGGACGGCTCGGTGCAAATTGGTCGTGTAAATTTCATATTCCCTGTCCCAAAAATTATAAGACCTGTATCTTTTTATACGGTTTTTAATAACATACTTTGATCAGTATTTTATTTCATTTTATAATCCCAACAAATATGAAATAAGCATCACATGAAAGTACTTCAAAATATGAATATAGTGATATAGCATGCGTAATACTTAGTATAGATATAGTTAGTATGATTATTAGTAAAAAGTTACCAAGTTTGATTTTCTTTAAAAAGGGGGCGCCCTATAATTTGGGACGGATGGACTATTATAAGTCGTTTCATTTTCTAATCAAATTCTTTTAAGTTTGACAAGTTTATAGAAAAATGTAGTAGTATTTTCAATACAACACAAATATGTTATCAAAATACATTTAATGGAACTAATTTGATGTTTCAGATGTTGCTAAATTTTTCTATAAATTTGGTCAACTTTAACAAACTTTGACTTATATAGAGGGAGTGTTTTTTTATTACACAATGCATATACCATTACACACTTAATACAACACTCATACCTTCGTGAATATGTCTCTTAACGCACGCTCTAAGAGACGAAAACCAACTACATATCCCTAATCTCTAAATGTTAGAGTTTGCATCGAATATGTGTACGTAGACGGTTACAGTTTAAAACTTAAAGTTATACTAGGTATAGAAATAGAGTAAGAGTCAGACTCTATTACAGGATATCTCTTAAAATAGAGGTGCGGACCTGTTGTAACCGCATGTGGCGACTTAGCATAGCGAGAGGAAGTGGCTGCCAGCAGCGTCCGGTCGTGAGTCGTTGTAACTTCGATACGCTATAATATGCTGGATCTGGGAGGAGCGCCCATAATCAATGCCCTAGGGATGTAGGTTTTGGCTGAAACTCGTTAACAAATATCGTGCCTTGGTGTCGTCATCGTGTTTGAATTTCTTATGGTGTTTCTTCCGCGTTTGGTTTCCGATCGTGATTTCGGGCTGGTTTTATAACACTGAAGCCCAAGTGAAAGTTCAGCTACATATTCATAATATTCGTAGTTGTCAGGATTTAAGGGTTTGTTTACTTTGTTGCCAAAACAAATCTTACCAATTTTAGTTATGCCAAATTTTAGCACGTTTTGATGTTACTGAATTTTGATAGAGTTGTTTACGTTTGGTTTGAAGCCTTACTTATTTTAGTTGAGTTTTTGTGAGAGAGAACTTTTGGAATTGCCAATCTTTAATAAGGTAGCAATGTTAAAATTATGTTTAGTTTATTACCCTATCAAACTTTGATAATACTTTTTTAAGGTGGAAAGTGACAACAAAACAAACCTGCCCTAAACCGACCTCACTACTGATATTTCCTTAAAGAAACAATTTATTGATCGACACGGGAGAGGTGGAGGAGGAGTAGAAGACAAATTTGTTTAAAATGACATCAGAAAAATAAAAAAAAAAAGGGGAAAGGACATAGATGAAGCTGTCGCCAGTGAAAATTGTAGTCCCACTGGATTGACGATTTTAACGTTTGCTTCCGTCACGTTCGTTAGTGTATTGCCGTATTGGTGAACCAGTTCCTTTTTAAGGATTCGCTGCCATCAGCCGTATATATGCCAATTGGTGAACCAGTCCCCTTTTAAGATTTAAGAAAACTATACAGGTCAGAGTTGTAATTCGATATGGTCTTTAACGTGGATGATCATAAGGGTATTGCAACAGCACTCTAGGTCGAAACAGTAGCAGGTTTAGAGTGCAAAATGATCAGCACACATGCATCATTTGAATTTTGATTCGTCTTGTTGAAACCTCAAGAAGTAAACGCGTGCATTGTCAAAAATACTGGATCGAAGCTTTTGGCCTCTAATAGTAGTATTTGTCAAGTCATTGTTAGCAGGCACAAATGCTCGGAGTACATAACACGCATACAAATCCATATTCCACAATAGTAAGAGACTATGAAAAGTGGAAAAGTTACCCCACATGCATATGGTGAACAAGAATAGAACAATTTCCCAACATTAGTCACATACGAATATACGATACAGATGGTTCCACAGCAATCCCAATCTTAACTCCTTTTGTTATCCACAAATTCCACAGTACACATCAATCAAACTAGCATAACAGTGACATGTACATGACTGAGAAAAAAAAATCAGAGAATACATGCATCTTTTCAAAAGGTTGAATTGAATCCATGGTGAACAAGTCCACACGACCACAAAGAACACAGTATTCTCGGAGAAAGCCAGTCCTGGTGCCCTGATAATCCCAAACACAGCACACAGGAGATGAACCCAAAACAAATGGATGTGAGGGGTACAGGAATCATGTCCACAGAAGGGAATAGATCAGCCACTGCAATTACGAACAATTTCAACTAAATCGAACGAATTGAATAAATAATAAGCTTACAGAACAGGGAGCAGCGCGAGGATGTCAGGCTATGAACAAACGAATCTAATGGAACTGTGGGCTCGGTGGGTAGGCCTGGTTAGAAGGTGCTGCTGCTTTCACTTGCAGAGATCGAGCTGCTCTCTGATTTCACAACTAGAGGCCCTTTGCTGATGTCCAAACCCTGAAGCCGGCCAAGAGGGTCTTGCTGCATGATATCTTGCAAACCGTTTGGATGGGATAGCATGTGATTGGGCACATTAGGACGGGGTGGTTGGAATTGTGGTGGCAACTGGGTTCCACCGTTCTGGCGGGCTGCATTATGCTGGGCGAGAGGGAAGAAAGGGGTGTTGTATGGGACATGTTGCAGTCCCATGCTATATGTCTCATTGGAATTTGTCATCTCACCAGTAGCGAGCTTAAGCCTCTCCAGTTCCTGCTTTAGTGCATCATTCAGAGCTGAAAAATTATATCACACTTTTTGTTAGAACCAGAAAGGTACGCTCACAGTTGCAATTCATACTCCAGCTATCACTTCTACATATCCAATATAATTACACGGGTCTCCGTATTAAAAATCATTCTAGCTTTTGGCACAAAATTTAAGATGTCACAAATAGAACGTATATAGCTAGGATAGCTCTAGACTGAATTGTAAAATGAAAAGGGTGTGTCTATCAGGAAAGGATAAATGAACTTTGATGCTATCATTTCCAATATAATGATCAGTTTTATACTTTTACCACTAGTTATTGTTGATGAAAAACAACAAATGTTAAGTAACTATAGTTATCCAGTTAAGGAAAATGCTCACCATCTCGCAGTTGAGCCTGTTGTTCCATGGCCTGCAACCGTATCTTGAGCTCTGCATTTTCTGCAGAAAGCCCAGTTGTGTCTCTCTGAAAGTAAAAGAAATGTTTTAAGAGCCAGTAGTTTAGCACAGCCATAAATTGAAAGGTTTTATGCTCTTTCAGAAGTCAACAGCACAACAAAATAGCATAACCTATAACAAGATAGTCAAAAGTCAACGAATAGATTTATTCTTTATTCTCACATGCACTCCATCAGCATTCAGCTCTTCAAGGTGTTCACATAGCCATATAAAATAATCCAATGGATATTTATAATGATCATAGCATGTGCAGAAGTCATGCATACAACATACAAGTTGTCCAATGGTACATGAAAAACTATCAAGCTAGATGCAATCCACAAGGAAGCCGCAACTTGGTTCTCGTCTTGTATGGGATTCTTGCATCTAGCAAAGAAGCTACAGTTTGTTTGCTGTGTGGTAAGTGGTAACTATTGGGGATGGAGGAACAGCCGACAGCCAGTTTGTTTACTAAGATTGCCAAGGAAAAACAGTGTTTCACTAGTACAGGATTACTGTTTCCAGAAACTCATGATTTAAACCATGAGGCAAAAGATAGATGGAAAGGCACCTGAAATAGTGTGAGTTGTGCTGAGAGAGTAGTGGCTTCAGTCTGAAGAGTTTGAACCTTCCGCTCAAGTTCTGTTATGTAACGAGCTTTTCTCTCTTTTGACCGAGCTGCAGATTGTCTGTTCGCCAGAATTCTGTAAGAGAACAAACTCAAGAGGTTAACAAAATATTACAAATTGCCTGGTTTAAAAATATTTCAGGAACATAATGATAATTTGCCAGCGATTGAGGGTGTTCATCTTCAATCCACTTTCCACATTACAAACAATATTTACAAATTTAAAAGAAATCATGAATTAGGGATAAATCCCACCATAGATTTCAAGAAAGAAATAGGAGTGTTATTTATCAACATCAAACACAAGTGTAGTCAAATTTTGTTAAATAATGGTATGTTCAGTATTTTTGTATATATCAGAACAGAAAAGAAGAAATATTCATTGCCCGGATAACCTTATTAAATTAAAGATGAACTGGGGAAGCATTTGTATATTGTTTAGAAAACAAAACAAAATCGGAAGCATGTGCAGAATTACAGACAAGTCAACCAACTGGCATGTGTAAAGCGATCTTTTTTGGTTGATGTTTCACACAAACTGTTTACTGCATACAATTAGGGAGAAAACAAAGGGAGGCAATGCAATTTTAACGCATCAGACGTTAACTGTAAAAAAATAAGTTTAGATATACTATCTGGTTAAACTGAATAGCAATAGTTTATTGAGGTGGAAAGTATACCATGGTTTAGTACTGGTGAGATCACAACCATGCTGATAATTAGAACATCTAAGTTGACAGACCTACATTGCAGAAGGCATCAATGCACATCTTCAATGTGTTGAAGAAATGAAGTACTGCCCTCACAGTTTTATATTGGTTGATTGCTTTAAGATATAGAAAATTTTGACTATTAAGTATTTGCAGCCCCTAAATAGCTACTCCAGAAGGTGATGGTATTTTCTCTAATTTGATTGGCTACACGCCTACACACGACCTCAAAGAATAATTCCAAAACTGAGACTGTTGCTTTCTCTTATTCGATTGGATGTCTATCCTTTGGTTGTTGCTCCCACAGTCCCACTGCCTTTCACAATCAATCCAGACAATCCGGTTTAATAACATGTCACTAATCGCATATCATTGTGCTACATTTTCATAGTTTAACTAGAGATGCAACATTTGTTCATCACATTTCTTAGGTACCAGAGCTAAGCAAAGAGAAACAAAAAACAATCTAATCAGACATCCAAACAGTATCTAGCATCTTAGACAGTAACTAATATCGAATTAAAACCAGCGCATATGCACAACTAAAAAGTAACTAACGATTACACCTACTCTATTGACCCACCCCCTTTCACAATCCCAGCAAAAAAAAGCCAACAAAAGCATGCGCCAAGCCGCCACCTCACAGCAGCAAACACTTATCCATAACAATCCCACCAACCGAGTGCTCGATAACTAGCACTTATAACCTTAACTCCTGATCTGCCAACCAACCACCAAGCGCCATCTATCCAATAATCCACACAGTACGCAAAGAAACAAACAAGACGCAAATGCACATCTTTTTCTCTAACCTCCAGGCATTTTTCAGAAAGATGCATGCATGCATAATTGTCCTAGGTACCTCGTCTGGTATGATTCCCTGCTACCTTGGAGAAACGAAACAGGTAATCTGTTAATCTATGGCGTGTGACGGGCACCTTTCTAATCTAAGCATCAACGACAACGTCGGATTCGCGAGAGCAAGCGGATGGATGGAGAGCGGGAGATCGGGGAGGCTTTGCACCTTTTGGCGCGCTTGGGGTCGATGGCGGCGAGCTCGGAGAGCTGCTCGGGGGTCATGGCCTTCTTAGCCTCCATGACCTCCGCCAGCGATGCGGCGGCGTCCTTCCGCGCGGCGGCGAAGAACCCGGAGCCGTCGACGGAGCTGCTGTGGCGGTGCTTGGGGCGCGGCGGCGAGGACGTCTCCGCGGCGCGGTCCCGGTCGGAGCCCCCCGCGGCGGCGGGGCCGGAGGAGATCTTCTCGATGTCCATGAAGGTGGAGAAGAGGTCGTCCTCGGAGCCGATCTCGTCGAACGCCCCCGCGCCGCCGCCGCCGAGGTCGAGGTCGTCGGGCAGGCGGAAGGCGACCTCAGATCTGGCCCGGCGGTGGTGCGCCCCGCGCATGGCCGCCGGATCGGTGTGCTTTGGCTCCTGCATTGCGCTCGCCCCCGCCTCACCACCACCACCCTGTCTCCCCCCCGGTTCCCCGGCTGCGCGCGCGCGCGCCCGCCAGCGAGTGTTCGGCTCGGGGATTGGAGGAGGCGGCTGCTGCTCCTGCCGCGTCCTCCGCCGCCGGTGCCGTGCGTGCCTGCGCTGCGCTGGGATGGCGTTGGTTGCTTTTGGGTTTGGTTTGGTCTTTATGAGGTGGTGGGGTGGGGGGATCTGGGGTCTGGGCTGGGGGATGGAGGCGGGAGGATGGGCAGCATGTGAGCGCCCACGGGGACGCAAGTGAAGTGAGCCGAACCGAGCCGGGACTGTCTCTCCGTGGCGGGTGGTGGTGACGGGTGAATGCAGCGGATTGGCGGATCGTGGAACCGGATACAGAACAATAATACACGCGTCGGACCGTCTGTTAACGTAGCAGCTCCATTGTTTACGAGTTGGCTACAATTATCCACATACATGATTATACATTGTTAAATAACATGCAAGTGAAGTGAGCCGAACCAAGTCGGTAATGTCTCTCTGTAGCGGATGGTGGTGACTGGTGAACGCAGCAGACTGGCGGATTATGGAACCGGATGCAGGGCAATACACGCGTCGGACCGTATGTTAACGTATTAGCTCCATTGTTTACGAGTTGGCTACAATTATCCGCAGACATGATTATACATTGTTAAATAACATTCTCCCTCCGCTCCAATAATTTAGAACTAAATATAAAATATATGTGGATTCGTACATGGTACTTGTGTCGGCTTCCTTGGCGTCGCAGACTTCGTTGTCCACACAGGCAAAGCAGGCCGCCACAGTCTCTTTTCATTGGGCGTGGTCTTCATCCTCGATGTTCATGCTGTCGTCACCATACAGCAGCCTTCGAAACCGCACCTCCTCAGCGAATACCATGTTCATATACTCCCGATACGCCTCCGTCACGTGGGACCCAACATTCCCGTCGTATGCCGCAAAGAACCCCTCGTCGCTCCCCTCACCTGTCCTCCATCTCCCTCCAGCGCCCGATCACCGACACTGCCCCGTGCGACATGCGCACCGATCATCTCCTTGTTTCGTCACCTTACCCTCTTGGAACATCACAATTCCACCGTCCTTGTTCCCAATCGATCCAGCCTCTGTCGCCAATAGGCTCCCCAAAGTCCAATGACCCTATTCCATCCCTCGTCGAGATCCAATCGTCGCTAGAGCCGTTTTCTCCAACATCGGCGCCCCACGGGTCCAACGCTCGACTCTCGCTGCTAGTGATGGTAGGAGCCAAGTCTCCCCTCCAATTCCTTCCCCTCTGCAGTGGGCTCAGGCACTACCTTAGCCGACTCTGTTGAGTCGAAGGAGTTGTCCGATGCCGGCTGCACCCTCTTTGTGGCCTCATTCTCCACCGTTCGCCCGAGCCTCTAGAGCTCAATACCACACGGAAGAGGGAGAACGAGAGGAGGGATAAGAGTTGGGCACTGACATGAGGGCCCACTCGCCCCGCCACGTTAGCCAATACCGGTCACTATACTGCTGAGGGATGAATTTCAGAATCGACGACAAATTGAGGAACGTAAGGTGAACTTATTCTTTTTTTTCCCAGGTTTCTAGCCCAACATTGCGCAGAATGTTCTTAACCGGCCCATAATGGGCACGATCTCAATGCACCGTGCTTGGGCCACACTGCCACAGGCCGCGCAGGAGATATTAAACTATATGCCACTTTTAGATGTGGCAATTAACTATTTGCCACTGGACCCACATGTCATAGACACATGTGGACCTACATGTTATTGAGATAGTTGTCGCAAATAGTTAATTGACAAATCTAAAAGTGGCAAATAGTTAAATGCCCCAGCCGCGCAGGGCAGGACGAGGCTGTGCTTGTTCGGCCGCGGAGCCGCCGTGATCTTCTACGGGTCGACGGCGCTCAGCGTTCGCGACATCACACATGCATCGCGTGCCATCCGCTCATCACCATAACCTCCGATGAGCATCGCCAGAAACAGTGGTGCACAGTTGCACACCACCATGTACTGATGTACACAAGAGCCGCATACACCGCGCCAGGCCAAGTCCAAGCACATTGGCTTCACATACAAGGTAATGCTAATACAGCGGTCTGGTTTTGTTTCTTTGTACGTAGCGTACACCTAGTACATATCATATCAAAAGCCTTTTCAGCCTTGCTTCTTGCATTGCCCAAAAAAGAAAACACAGAAAACTACAGAAGACGCCGGCGCATGGTGTGACGAACGTCTCTGAATTTCTTCCGCGCCGGGCGTGGCGCACAGTTGGAATTTGGAGCGCAGCTGGGCGGTCGGCGGTCACCGGCCTCGCGCGCCAACAACCCCGCTGCCTGACTGCCTCCCTCCCTCACTCGCCCATGCGGCCATGCTGCCATGCATGCGCGCGCTACGTGGAGCCCGTGGCCGCGCCATGCACGCCGACACGTGCGCCGCGCTGCCGCGCCGCGCCAGCGCCACCCGTCGCCTCTTTTAACCCTCCTCTCCCTCCTCGCTCGTCACGCCCACGGCGCGCACCGATCGAGCCCTGCACTGCGCGCGGACAAAGAGATCACGAGAGGCAGAACATAATCAGTTTGCTCGAGGAAGAGTGATTAGCTTGCTAGCTAGGCGTTTAGGACGACATCGAACGGCTCGATCGATGGGTCGTCGTCGCGTGGCGGCAGCGGTGGCGCCGCTGCTGATGCTGCTGCTGCTGCTCCTCTCGCGGTGCTCGGCGGCGTCGCGGCGCGGCGGGAAGGGTTGGGACTGGGAGGAGGAGCATGAGGGGGAGTGGCGTCCGGAGGAGGAGGAGGAGGGGGGAAAGGGCGGCGGCGGCGGCGGCGATCACCCCGGCCCCAAGCCGAGGCCAGCGGAGAGGGGGCTGTTCGTGCTGGACCGGGGGGAGAAGGTGGTGGAGTCGGAGGGAGGGCACGTGCGCGTGGTGCGCGGCCGGCCGTGGCCGCCGGCCGCCGTGCCGGACCCGTGGCAGCGCGGCTGGTCGGCGGCCTCCGGGTGCTGCCGGGAGGGGCTCATGCACATCGGCTTCATCACCATGGAGCCCAAGACGCTGTTCGTGCCGCAGTACGTCGACTCCAACCTCATCCTCTTCGTGCAGCTAGGTACATCTCCGATCTCTCAACAATTCGAGCAGAAATCGAGTCGATTCATTCCGCTAGCTCGCGCGTGTGCACGAGCTTGATTGATTTGGATGTGAGCAGGGGAGGTGAAGGTGGGATGGATGCACAAGGACGAGCTCGTGGAGAAGAACCTCAAGATGGGCGACGTCCTCCACATCGACGCCGGCTCGACGTTCTACATGGTCAACTCCGGCAAGGGCCAGAGGCTGAAGATCATCTGCAGCATCGACGCCTCCGATAACATCGGCTTCGGCCCTTATCAGGTCGACCACATCATGCCTTCGTTAACACCATCGATCGTTTTACTCGTCATCTCCGCTAATGAATTACGATGGTGCAATGCAGGCCTTCTTCCTTGGTGGTGGCGGCGGCGGCGGTTCAAGGCACCCGCAGTCGGTGATCGCCGGCTTTGACCCCAAGACGCTCGTTATCGCGTTCAACGTTAGCCCTACTAAACTGAAACAGTTCTCAATTTCGAAAAAAAACGAACAATTTCCATCGTGCAAGTTACAACACATAGACATGGGGAATTGATCCATTAATCTCCAATCGATCATATAATCATATGCGCGTGATTAATTTTGGGGTCATTGATGTCTCATGTTCTAGACCACTTTCGAGGATTTGGATCAAACATTACTGGTGGATACCGGGCGGGGGCCTATCATGTACTACACCACGGAGCCCGTGATGAGCGGCGGCCAAGGCGGCGTGGGAGTCGGATACAGCGGAGCACGGCGCGGCGCGGCGGCCGGGCAGTGGAGGCCAGTGGGCAGAGGCGAGGAGGAGGAGGAGGAGGAGGAGGAGTTGGTGGTGGACGAAGCGTCGTCGACGTGGTCGTGGACGAAGCTCGTGGGCCGTCTCCTCGGAGTGGTCGGAGGCGGGGCGCCGTCCAACTCCGTGGCCGCGCAGCCGAAGAAGAAGAAGGACAAGACGGTGCGCGCGCCGGAGCCGTACAACCTCTACGAGCAGGGCACCGGCTTCCGCAACGCCTACGGATCCAGCGTCGCCGTCGACAAGCACGACTACGAGCCCCTCGGCCACTCCGACATCGGCGTCTATCTCGTCAACCTCACCGCCGTATGCAACCTTGCCCTCTTCTTCCTCATACGCATACGTACTCTTGTCTGCAGCCTCTGTACTACTACAGATTTGACACGGCGATCGTTGCATATGCGTTGCGTTGTCGCAGGGATCGATGATGGCGCCGCACGTGAACCCGAGGGCGACGGAGTACGGCGTCGTGCTCAGCGGGACGGGCTGCATCGAGGTCGTGTTCCCGAACGGGTCGAAGGCGATGAGCGCGACGGTGCGCGCCGGCGACGTGTTCTACATCCCGCGCTACTTCCCGTTCTGCCAGGTGGCGTCGCGGGGCGGGCCGTTCGTGTTCTTCGGGTTCACGACGTCGGCGCGGCGGAACCACCCTCAGTTCCTCGTCGGCGGCTCCTCCGTGCTCCGCGCCCTGCTCGGGACGGAGCTCGCCGCCGCGTTCGGCGTCCCGGAGAAGGCGATGAGGAAGCTGGTGCTGGCGCAGAATGAGGCGGTGATCCTGCCGTCCTGGCCGGAGAAGAAGAAGAAGAAGAAGTGGGAGGAGGAGCCCGAGGACGAGAGGTGGGAGGAGAAGAAGAAGGCGGCGAAGCAGAGGAAGCCATGGGTTATCGAGCAGGTGCCGGCGAAGTAGTAACTAAGCCCGCGTAAGCTAGCTGCTTAACTCTGATTAAGCATGTGAGCTATCTATCAATCCATGCTTAGGTATGCAGCTGGTTAACTTTGTTTTGCTGTCCAAACTTTTGTAACCATGGGCGTGTCTGCTCAACTTATGTTTGCGCTCTTCGTGTTGCTTCGGCGTCGCGTTAATAAATAAAGATGCTTCTGCTTTTACTTTTTGGCGTCGATACATGATCATTCATCGTGCCTGATTATAAACAGTTGTCCTAAGCTCTTTGATGTTCTTTTGCTGAGTTGAGCATTTCGGCTTCTGATAAATCAGCGCATTTTTTACAAATTTGTACTAGCTGCGAAAAAATCAGCGTGAAGAATCAGAATCCGCTCCAATCCCAATTATGTTCTACTTATACAGCCTTACAGGTCACAACAAGCAACTGAAGCAAGTTATAGCCTCACCGGAGAATGACCGAACAAAGTTTGCCTCCGGAAAGGGTGGTGGCGTTCGTTGCTACCAGGGCCAAAGTGCTGGTGCACTGGTGCTGATGTAGCGTGATGGTCCGGCCGGTTGAGCCGATCATGTCGAAGCGATTATGCAGAAATTGGTTTTCGCCATCTCCCCTCCCGAATTGTCAACGAAAATCCAAAACTGGTCGTGTATTCGCATGCAAACAATGGCACGCCTTTGATCGGTGCAGATTCCGGAGCTTCCAACAATAGAGTCCCCCCAAAAAATGTGTGAATTTTGCAGCAAAATTTTTCACTGCGGAACGCTCAGTTGCACGGTTGCACCGACGATTCTCGCGTTTCCGTCTGCTCCTGCACCAGCAGGGCCTCCTTGCTATGCCGCTTCAAGGAGACGAGGACGCCGCGCTTCACGGCGGCGGCGTACACGGCCATCGCGTCGGGCCACCTCCCCTGCCGGGCGAGCTCGCCGAGCAGCGCGTCGAACGCGTTCCGGCCGGGCACGAAGTCCCTGGCGATCACCAGCGCCAGCACCCGCAGCGCGTCGCGCGCCCGGCCACGCTCGCACAGCGCGCGGACGACGTCGGTGTACGCGCGCTTCCGCAGCGCGTAACCCCTGCGCGCCATCTCACCCAGGAGCGACACGGCCGCGTCCACCTCGCCGCCGCGCGCCAGCGCCTGCGCCATCAGGCAGTAGGTGTACGACACCGGCTCGTGCCCGGACGCCACCAGCTTGCCGAACACCTCCCTCGCGTCGGCGAGCGCCGCGACGTTCGCCGCGCACTGACGGCACAGGCCCCGCGCGAGCGTGTCCAGGGCGCGGCCGTCGGCCTCGAACCCGGCGCGCTCCATCCGCTTGTACGCCTGCCACGCCGCGGAGGTCTCGCCGGCGCGCAGCAGCGCCTGCAGCACGATGCTGAAGCTGATCCTGTCCGGCGGGCAGGCGGCGTTGCCGCACATCTCCATGAGCAGGCTGTACGCCTTGAGCGGATTCCCTTCCTTGCAGTGGCCGTTGAGCAGGGCGTTGTAGGTGAATATCGTCGGCGAGAGGCCATTCCTGACGGCGTCGTGGAAGATGGGCGTGGCCTCGTCCGTCCGCCCGACCTTGCAGAACCCGTCGAGGACAATGGTGAACGTGTAGATGTCCGGCGTCTGCTTCGGCGACTCCTTGAGCTTGTTGAGCAGGTCCAGCGCCTCCTCGAGCCGCCCGACGTAGCAGAGCCCGCCGATGAGGCTGTTGTAGGTGCGGATGGTGGGCTCGCAGCCGACGGCGCGCATGGTGTCGAACACCTCCATGGCCCTGGTGACGCGTCCGCGCTTGCAGAGGCAGCCGACGACGGCGGAGAAGGTGGCGACGGTGGGGCGGAAGCCGCGCGCCACCATCTCGTCGAGCGCCTCCTTGGCCTCGTCGGGGGCGCCCTTCCGGCAGAGGCACTGCACGGCGGTGGCGTAGGACTGCGCGTCGGGCGTGACGCCGTTGGGCCGGAGCGCCCGGAAGAGCGCGACCGCGGAGTCGTGGTCGCCGGCCATGGCGAGCGCGGAGAGGATGTCGTTGTAGTCGGACACGGTGAGCGCCCCGTCGTCGCGCTGCAGGAGGTCGAGCACCTTGACCCGCTCCTCGACGGGGAGTCCCATGATCCGCTTCGCGCAGTCCCTCGCCCGGATCCGCGTGCCCCGCCTCCCGCCGCCGCCGCCGTCACCCGCCTCCTTCTCCTCCTCGACACCAGGATCAAGAACGCCATGGACGCTCCCGTTGCCGTTGAACGCGAGCGCCTGCAGTATCCCCGCGTCGTGGTCGTGGTCGTCGCCGCCGTCGCGTGCCGCCGGCGCTCTGCAGTAGGACGCGAAAGGACTAGTCGCGGCTCGAGTGGCAAACTGGAGGACGCCTCCTCCATGGCAGGAGGATGGCGGGGAGAGCGGGAAGGAGGAGTGGAAGGGAGACGCCATAGGCGCACCGACGAGAGCGCTGAGCTGGGGAGGAAGAGACGACGCGATGGATGGGGTTCGGTGGCGAGAGGATGAGAGGCTCTCGTCGTGCGGTCGAGCGATTCGACGCAGGTGCTAGTGCGCCAAGCACACGAAGCGTAGCACCCCTAATGTTCCCCACTCGGTGAGGGCCCAACGGGACAAGTGGCCAAGTCATATATGGGCTGCCACCACTCGAGCAGCTAGGGAAGATAGGCCGAGGCAGCAGGAGGTGACCTAGGCCTCTCGTGGGTTAGTGTACACGTGAGGAGAGATGGGCCGAGTGACCTAGGCCGTAGGAGATGGGCTGAGTCAATCTGAGTTGGGAATAAGTCTTTTTTTCCCCCTCATCTCTTGCTGCTAGTTGAATCGCCTCCCTCAACCGTAAATCCGGTTATAATGTCCGGAAAAGCTAGTTAGTACTAGTATAAGCCGGCAGGTATGTCGCGTCCCATCGTGATGATAAGGGACCTCGAGCCACTCACCGCTCACTGGACACACCCAAGATTGTGTCTCTAGCACGGTGGTTACTCCCCCAAGTCCTTGTTCATTAAATGATGAGTGACGAGGGGCGTCCCCGTGTCAGCCGGCATGATTTGACGGGCCCCGCACAGCAGCCGATGCAGGGATGACTTCTGAGCTAAGGCACGGAACGTGTATTTAATATAGAGAATGTTTTCCCTCCTCTAGTGATAGCTCTTGCGGCACATGTGGTAACCCTTTGAGATATAAAAGGAGGTCCAGGCCTACGGAGGAGGGGGTTGGATCCCACAACTCCTGAGAGACCGTGCGTTAGCTTCCTCACCAGAGATTCAAAGACTTTGTAAGTTCAGAAAAATCATCATACACATGAGTAGGGTGTCACGCACTTACGCTCCACAACGGCCCGAACCTGTCTAAATCTCTTGTGTCTCCTCCACCTCGAGTATCTGACCCCCTCGAGGGTTTCCTCCGTTTACTTTTCTCCATTCCCTCTGCGCTCACTCGCTGCCTCCGGCCGAACTCACAAAGGGGGACCGCGTTGTCCCTCGCTAGCGGAGTTAACCCTCTGACAACACTATTCATCAACGAAAGAAACACACAACGGAAAAGTAGTGAATGCCCGATTACCTTGGGACTGTTTTATAAAATGATTTACTAAGTACATCAACTCTCATGTTGTCTGGATGGAAGAAGCTCAAAACATGTTTTTTAGATCCCAACCCTAAATATATTCCCCACAAACAATGTGCTTCTCAGAATAGTATAACGTATTTTCTGCAAAGAAACGAATCAGTGAACCCTGTACTAATCCCATTAACTAAAAGAGACCAAAAAACCCATGATGAGGGATGAAGTCCTTCCATTATGGGGATTAAGAATATAAGGGATGAATGTAGGCAAAATCCCTTCCATTACGGGATAGAGGTGGCACTAATTACTTCTAGGGATGAGGTGGTGGTGGATCTAACCCATTCCATTACACAAACCAAACAAAAAGGTGAGTGTGAAGATAATGGACCACCCTATTCCTCCAACCAAACACTGATTTATCCATTAAAAAAAATCCTCTGATACCATTCTGTGCAGTGTTCCAGTATATCTCATGATCTCATCATATGTACCAAACATACCGCTATATATCTCAATGTTTCTGTAGATCTATTCTATCTATACATCTCGTTGCCAATCTTCTGTACGTGCTGAAATATCTACAGAAAGTTTATGGAAAGCTAAGACAGTATATTTACAGCCTTAGAGCCATCAAACAAGATAACCTCTATGCACATCTCGTTGCTAATCTTCAGTTACTTGTCCACATGAGGATTGTGGCAAAACAAGCAGACACATTGCTAATCTTCAGTTATTTACATGGGAATCCATATCGGTAAATTCGTTTTTTCCTGCATAAAGATAGAGGAAGTTGTAAGCACAAATAACAATTAGATGAATGAAATTCATGCTTTATGAATGATACTGAGCCTTAGTAAGCTAAACTAACCAAGAAAGTGAGTGCGAGCAACAAATGCTGCAAAGTGCAAACTAAGCACTACTAGGACATATCTGACATGACAAACATGGAACCATGTAAACAAGCCTAAAACGATAAACCAGACACTTAGGAGGATTATCTAACATGGGAAAGCATGCAAATCACAATTTTCACTACAAAGAGCACACCTCGTGATTAGACTTCCCATTGGTACTTCCAAGTTCCAACAGCTTACCCCCTAAATCAACTATTGATGAATTCTAACTCAAACGAATTGATTAAATAAACACAATAGTTCCTGGGAAATCATAGAGGGGAGAGATGGACCTCTTGAGTAGACTGTTCATTCAAGTGCTTCCCTATCTTCTGAATCAGCGACTTGTGGCTTCTCCTGTAAAAGAAATGTTTTTTCTTGTAAATTATAGTGGCACAAACTTTTGTTTTTTTATCAATCCTTTTTTTCTAAGAAAATGGAGATCCCTGCTTTTATAGATAGTGTATTCTATTAAGGCCATTACCAATAAGATTGAAGAGGCAGTACGCTTCACGATCAAGTCTTTCATAATCTTCAGATCTCCTCCCCAGTTACTCCACAAGGAACTAGTCCAAATATCCCAATTACCTCTTTTACTGTATGAGTATTTGTCGCAGAACTTTCTTACATAAGCTCTTCTTTTTGTGATCCCTAACAGATGCATCTCAAAGTAAATTATACCACAGCTGTAAAAGTCCACCTATGTAAGACAAACAACGTTAATAAATCAATGATATTACTGTTTCTAGTACCAACAACACTATTTTTTTTTAGATAAAGGTACCAACAACAATATAGGCTAACCTTCTCATCATGTTGCAGATGGGTGGAATTTAAGATAGGGTCGCAATAAAATTGGGTTCCATACTGAGGGCCACCTGGATACCTCACATTTGCACTTGGATATGGCTTTATCTTTGCTGAAAACTGAAATGTTAGCTATACTGAATTTACAATATCATAGTTTACATGCTACAAACAGAAACTTACAGATGCCAAAGTCAGTGATATAAATGTGATCATCACTGTCTATGAGAATATTGAGAGGCTTCAAGTCCCTATGTATGATTCCTGCTTCGTGTATTTCCTTCACTCCAGCCATTATTTCAGCAAATATAGTTGTGCTCTTTTGTAGATTTACTCCTTTTCTTGCATCAAGGTATTCATCCAAATTGCTGACCAACAAAAGGAAATTGCATATTCCATCAATAAAAAGGAAACAAAACTCATTGCTCAACAGCAACTAACATTTTTTTCGGACTTATTCCAACAGTGAGTTGATTTGAGTTTCAGTAAGTACCTTTCAAAAACTTCCATTCCAATGTACACATAACCAAGACCTGACACCGCATTCTCTGACCAAGCACAATACATCTGTACCACATGGTTTGCTCCACTCAATTTAGCCATCGCTTCAACCTCTGAGCATGGATTTCCTTTGCGTTCTTTACTAACCTTCTTAACTGCCAATGGCATTATTCCCCTTGAACACCTATACACAGACCCATGAGCACCTTTGCCTACAATGTTTGTCAAAAAAAATACACACATCAGGACTTCCCTAAAATATATAATGGTCAAGTCGATTACGATGATGTCTAAAAGTTTACCTAAAATTCCAGTAGGGACAAAATCTCTCTTGAAATCAATGGCCAAGGGGTAAAAGCTATCTTTGGAGATATGGCCTCTAAACCGGATCACAGTGGCACCGAATATCTATTGGTTAGGAAAATTATTTGTTGGTCTGCATGATATTTAAAATGAAAAAAAAGGGGAAATCATAAACAAGGAATGGTAGATGCTAAGGCATACCATCTTAAGAGCATCGCTGTTGGACAGTACCACAGATTTAACCTTAGGATCCAGCATTGAAACCACTGAGTATATGGTTGTTGATCTCCATAGTACTGACATTCCTAAATTATAAATGAGAAGAATGAAGGAATTTGGTTTGTTAAAAAATGAAAATACAATGGAAAAGGATTATTACAGTTTATCAGTAAAGCAATAGTACCTTGTGCTGTGTCATAAGAGGTCAGAACAGCTGTTGCCTTAAGAGGTTCAATTATCAATTCCAAATTGGATGTTCTTTCATGTTCACCATTTGTCAATTCCAGTTCGACACACTCAACAAGATCATTAGCTCTTTGGAACTTTAGCTGTATGCTGTCTGGTTTCGTAGACACCTGAATCGGTACCTGATCTTGTGAAAACAAGGCACGGCAGATGCTAGAATCTTGACATGGAAGCTTCTCCAGGGGATTAGAAAGGCGAAATACATAAGTGGGGTGTTCCCCCTCAACCTCAAGTACAAGAAGGTAAATCTGCACTTCATCATTCTTATCATCTTCTGCCATCATGTGCTATTTTCTAGAACTTCTGAACAGGTTTGTGAAACAACTTAGGATGTCAGAATCACGGAGCATCAGGAAAAATATACACGAGCATTGTGAATGATAATGAACCTCGCTTGCTACTAATGTCGCGATAACACACACTATATTTCCAAAAACCAACGCATACAGAGATCACTCTAAACAGAAAACTACAGAATAAATGCTGAATATGATGTAGCATTCTAGAAGAACATGCCCTTTTTTCCTCTGTTAGACACAACAGAGTCATTGTAAATTTGAAACTACTGCATAGAAAAGTGAACATGTGATCTAAATAAGCATATCTGTTTTTTTTGGACTGAACTGAAGTTAAGATCTGAAGCCTTTTGAGGTTCACAATTCACATACTGAATATGACAAGAATTAAAGAATCATGAACAACAGAAACTAGCATGATTCAAACGAGTGTGTTCGGTATACAGAATTCACATAAACAGCAACAACTAGCGGTTCACAATTCGAATACTAAATATGACAGGGACGAAAGAATCATGAAAAATAGCAACTAGCAATTAGCAGGATTCAGGTGGTGTTTGGTTGGAGGGACTAAAGTGGGGCTAAACTTAGTCCCTAGTTCCCAAACACCCCCTCAACAATATGAATATCGTGCCAAAGTGGAGGCACACGAAGAGCACGAGTGAACAACTCGTGTGCTAGTTGGCAGCACGGCGTGCGTGGTATATGTGCACGTAGCAATCCCTAAAAAAATGAATATC